TTGTTGATCTTAGCTACTCTTTCCTTCATTTCTTTTTCATTTGTTTCTGATCTGATCTTTATGATTTCTTTCCTTCTGCTAACTTTGGGGTTTTTTTGTTCTTCTTTCTCTAATTGCTTTAGGTGTAAGGTTAGGTTGTTTATTTGAGATGTTTCTTGTTTCTTGAGGTAGGATTGTATTGCTATAAACTTCCCTCTTAGAACTACTTTTGCTGCATCCCGTAGGTTTTGAGTCATTGTATTTTCATTGTCATTTGTCGAGGTATTTTTTGATTTCCTCTTTGATTTCTTCAGTGATGTCTTGGTTATTTAGTAGTGTATTGTTTAGCCTCCATGTGTTTGTATTTTTTACAGATTTTTTCCTGTTACTGATATGTAGTCTCATAGCGTTGTGGTCAGAAAAGATACTTCATACGATTTCAATTTTCTTAAATTTACCAAGGCTTGATTTGTGACCCAAGATATGATCTATTCTGGAGAATGTTCCATGAGCACTGGAGAAGAAAGTGTATTCTGTTGTTGTTGGATGGAATGTCCTATAAATGTCAGTTAAATCCATCTTGTTTAATGTACCATTTAAGGCTTGTGTTTCCTTATTTATTTTCATTTTGGATGATCTGGCCATTGGGGAAAGTGGGGTGTTAAAGTCCCCTACTATGATTGTGTTACTGTCGATTTCCCCTTTTATGGCTGTTAGCATTTGCCTTAAGTATTAAGGTGCTCCTATGTTGGGTGCATAAATATTTACAATTGTTATATTTTCTTCTTGGATTGATCCCTTGATCTTTATGTAGTGTCCTTCTTTGTCTCTTCTAATAGTCTTTATTTTAAAGTCTATTTTGTCTGATATGAGAATTGCTACTCCAGCTTTCTTTTGGTTGCCATTTGCATGGAATATCTTTTTCCATCCCCTCACTTTCAGTTTGTATGTGTCCCTAGGTCTGAAGTGGGTGTCTTGTAGACAGCATATATACAGGTCTTGTTTTTGTATCTATTCAGCCAGTCTATGTCTTTTGGTTGGAGCATTTAATCCATTTACATTTAAGGTAGGTATCAATATGTATGTTCCTGTTGCCATTTTCTTAATTGTTTTGGATTTGTTATTGTAGGTCTTTTCCTTCTCTTGTGTTTCCTGCCTAGAGGAACATCCTTTAGGATGTTCTGTAAAACTGGTTTGGTGGTGCTGAATTCTCTTAGCTTTTGCTTCTCTGTAAAGGTTTTAATTTCTCTGTCGAATCTGAATGAGATCCTTGCTGGGTAGAGTAATGTTGGTTGTAGGTTTTACCCTTTCATCACTTTAAATATGTCCTGCCACTGCCTTCTGGCTTGCAGAGTTTCTGCTGAAAGTTCAGCTGTTAACCCTATCGGGATTCCCTTGTATGTTATTCGTTGCTTTTCCCTTGCTGCTTTTAATATTTTTTCTTTGTATTTAATTTTTGATAGTTTGATTAATATGTGTCTTGGCGTGTTTCTCCTGGATTTATTCTGTATGGGACTCTCTGTGCTTCCTGGACTTGATTGACTTTCCTTTCCCATATTAGGGAAGTTTTCAACTATAATCTCTTCAAGTGTTTTCTCAGTCCCTTTCTTTTTTCTCTTCTTCTTTGGGACCCCTATAATTCGAATGTTGGCGCGTTTAATGTTGTCCTAGAAGTCTCTGAGACTGTCCTCAGTTCTTTTCATTCTTTATTCTGTTCTGCAATAGTTATTTCCACTATTTTAACTTCCAGGTCACATATCCGTTTTTCTGCATCTGTTATTCTGCTACTGATTCCTTCTAGAGAATTTTTAATTTCATTTATTGTGTTGTTCATCATTGTTTGCTCTTTAGTTCTTCTAGTCGTTGTTAAACGTTTCTTGTATTTTCTCCATTCTATTTCCAAGATTTTGGATCACCTTTACTATCATTATTCTGAATTCTTTTTCAGGTAGACTGCCTATTTCCTCTTCATTTGTTAGGTCTGGTCAGTTTTTATCTTGCTCCTTCATCTGCTGTGTGTTTTTCTGTCTTTTCATTGTGCTTAACTTACTGTGTTTGGGGTCTCCTTTCTGCAGGCTGCAGGTTCATAGTTCCTCGTTGTTTTTGGTGTCTGCTCCCAGTGGGTAAGGTTGGTTCAGTGGGCTGTGTAGGCTTCCTGGTGGAGGAGACTGGTGCCTGTGTTCTGGTGGATGAGGCTGGATCTTGTCTTTCTGGTGGGCAGGACCATGTCCGGTGGTGTGTTTTGGGGTGTGTATGAACTTATTATGATTTTAGGTAGCCTCTCTGCTAATGGGTGGGGTTGTGTTCCTGTCTTGCTAGTTGTTTGGCATAGGGTGCCCAGCACTGTAGCTTGCTGGTCATTGAATGGAGCTGGGTCTTTGCTTCAAGATGGAGATCTGTGAGAGAGCTTTCACCGTTTGTTACTATGTGGGGCTGGGAGGTCTCTGGTGAACTCGGCTCTACCACCTCAGAGGCTCAGGCCTGACAGCCGGCTGGAGCACCAAGACTGTGATTGTGGAGGCTTGGTGAATCCAAAATCTGATGTAGTAGGCCAGTAGGCCGGAGACTCTGGGAAGAGTTGCAGCCCAAACGAAGGCTGCCGGCAGAATCCCTGTCCTTGGTTTTGAGAATGTCATTGGAGGCTTTGCTAAGCTATTTGGTATCATGACCAGGGCAGAAGGGTAGTTGGAGTGGGTTGGAGGTAACCGGTTGGTGAAGATGCTAAGAGATGGGACTGTCCAAGAACTATGTGAAGTTTGGCTGTGAAGGGGCTGGTGTGTTGTGTATGTGACCTTATGTGAACTACTTGACTCCTCAAATCAAATTCCTCACCTTCCAGCTGGTGATGGGATTACGTAATGTGAGGTACTGTTGAGAGCATCGCAGGAAATGAAGTACACTGATGCATCCAGAGCTTCCAGCACAACCTCTTGCCTGACAGTGGATGTTCTCAGAGTGCTTGTTTCTCCCGTGCTCTTCTCTGTCTGAGAGGCTTCATTTTCCCATCAGTAAAAGGAGGAAATTAGGCCAAATGAAGTTTCCAGTTCTAGGTTCTCACACGTTGCCTGCTTCTCAACCCAGGGGCTCCCCACTTCCCCCTCTCCCACTGCCTCTGTCCAGTTTCTGCCTGTGGCTGTAACCCCCACTGGACTCTCTTCCCTTTTCCTGCATCCACTCTGCTTTGATTCTGTCTTGCACTCGATCACCAGATTACTTCTCCAAAAAAGAAAAAACACAACACCTTGCTTAGCCTTCTCTCTCACCCAGGAGTCTTGAGAGGGGCCTCGTTCCTGAGATGAATGTACCCGGCCCCACCTGTGATCCTTTATGACTTGAACTCTGCTAGACTCACTTCTTCTGCTCTCCCCTGCACCCCTGGCCATCGGATTGGCTGCCGCTTGAATGTATCTTGTTCTGCCTTTTCTCTGGCCTCTGGAATGTTATACCCAGTTTTAAATCCCACCTGTCCCTCAGGAGCTGGTGCATGTGCAGTGCCCCTTGGTGCTGTGATGCAAAGGACCATCTCTCTGCAGGAAGCTCCAAGGCTACTCCTGTCTGCCTTGCTTAGTTCCACTCACATCTAGAGTGGGCCTGCAATGTGCACACACCAACCACCTCCTGCTTCACCTGACAGTTGTTTATCACAGGTCTCAGCTCCCGCCTCCACCACGAGCCTCCTCTGAGGTTTCTTTGCATCTCCTGCAGTGCCATGCATGTTGGGTGCTTCACAAATTAACAAATTACATCAATCAGAAAACGTCACTTTGAGAAGCTGTAATGGAAGGTTTGGGAATTATTAAGTTTTAAGAGAGGATAGTAACCAAGGGTTTTTCTTTGTGTGTATGTTTAGAATTAAAAAAAAAAGTTTCCAGTATTGAGGCTGTTTTATCAAAAGCCTTTAAAATCTGCAGATGCCTTGGCCCAGCAATTCTACTCTAGGGATTTATCCTAAGAAAACAGTTTTGAATATCTGCAGAGAATGTCCACTGCAGTGTTGTTTATGATGTGAAAATATGGAGATAACCTAAATATCCAACAATAGGGGATTGGTTTAAAAAGAAAAGAACTCACGGTGCATATTCATATCCTAGAATTACTGTCTCCTTCTTAAAATAATGATGTAGTAAGGCAGTGACTTGGTAAAATGTTCATATGAAATGAAGGAAGTATGTTTGAAAACATTATATTATTGTCCGATTTCCTTTACCTTAAATTATAAAGAAAGGATAATTGGCATAGGTAGTGATATCTTTGGATGTTGGGATTACTGATGATTTTTACTATCTTTTTGCTATCTGTTACCTAACCTTTCTGCAGGAAGCATACTTTCTTGATTAAGAAAACACTTTATTAAAGTTGGAATTGGATACCTCTTTTATTCATATAAATCACATATTCTTATCTTGCTGCTAAGTTAGCCTTTCTGTCTACACTCATGCAGTGTTGGGGAGAGCCCAAGGCCACCTGCCCACGTCAAATGGTGGTAGGAAACATGGGAGCGTGCTTCTTGGGGTCCCTACCTTCTAGGTCACAGTGACTGTTCTCCAGTGTATACTGCATGGTGTCCTTGAGGCTGGCTGCAGGAGTGAGTCGTTGTCCCTTGGCTCCTGAGCTCTGTGTTCAGGTGCAGGGCACTGGCGCTCTGCAGCAGGGGTGGGGAATGTGCGGCCTGGCAGCTGTGCAGTCAGGCCTGGGTTGCAACCTTGACCCTCCCCTGTGCTCCTGTGCGGCCCTGGGCTTTAAGCTGTGGTTTGCACGTCGGTGGGATGGGGATGGCACCTCCCGCGGCAGTGAGTGTGTTGCACAGCATCTGGCCCAGACTGGGCACTTCCCAAAGGACAGCTGGCTGCTGAGCTCCCCAGATAGCCCACCTGCAGCCACTCCTAAATGGGGTCTTATTTCTTTAATAATAATATAGGTTTCCTGGAAACTGGTCATGTTATGGGTTGGGAAATAGTTTTTAAAAAGTGGTTTCCTTGTAACTGAGACCTGTCCCGCCCTCCCCTCTTGTCTCCCTGCAGTCTGTGGGCCAGGCATCGACATCCGCAACGACTACCAGCAGCTGAAGCGGCTGGAGAACTGCACGGTGATCGAGGGCTACCTCCACATCCTGCTCATTTCCAAGGCTGAGGACTACCGCAGCTACCGCTTCCCCAAGCTCACGGTCATCACTGAGTACCTGCTGCTGTTCCGCGTGGCCGGCCTCGAGAGCCTCGGCGACCTCTTCCCCAACCTCACAGTCATCCGTGGCTGGAAGCTCTTCTACAACTACGCCCTGGTCATCTTCGAGATGACCAACCTCAAGGATATTGGGCTCTACAACCTGCGAAACATTACCCGTGGGGCCATCCGGATCGAGAAGAATGCTGACCTCTGCTACCTCTCCACGGTGGACTGGTCCCTAATCCTGGATGCCGTGTCCAATAACTACATCGTGGGAAATAAGCCCCCAAAGGAGTGTGGGGACCTGTGCCCGGGGACGATGGAGGAGAAGCCGCTGTGCGAGAAGACGACCATCAACAACGAGTACAACTACCGCTGCTGGACCACGAACCGCTGTCAGAAAAGTAAGATGAGGATATGACCGTGGCTCCCCTCCTGCTTCTCTCTACCCCCTCCCCCTCCCTCCCTCCTCTTCTGAATGCGTGGTCCCGACGGGTGGGTACGGCTGTATTGCAATTAGGATGTGGGGTCTTGAGGGGCTTCCTTTTGCATCTGGGAACTGGTAGGTGCAGGACTGTGGCCTGGCTGCAGGCCATCCCGGCTTCTGTCAGACCATTCCAGTCACACACTAGAAACCGTCACCGCACTCCTGGGCTAGAGGCTTGAGGAACTGCTGCTTTGAATTTCTGATGAGAAAGGTGACCTGGTGTGCTTGCAAGTGCCTAAGCCATGGCAGTCAGAGGCTGCATACGTAATCAGCTCTTGCATCCTTTGCGTGAAAGGATGTTTTTTGGTGACGCAGGGCTTCCTTAGCGTGAGTACACCTGGAATATTGTGGGATAAAGGAAAGGTAAAGGCTAATTCACATCCTGTGAAAGTGGTGACCCGCACCCAGTCCTTGGTCCTTAATGATGACGTTACAGTGCTTGGGCATCCTGGTTTATGATGGAGCATCCTTGGAGCACCACCCCAAGGCGGTGGGGGCAGGGGAACCCTGGACCAGTTTCTAGGAGTCCCAGGTTCAGGTCGACCTTGCAGGCTTTGTACACCCCAGGCTTCTGCTTCCTTTTTTTTCTACCTCTTTCTTGAAGAATTGTGCAAATCTCGTGAATCACTTATTGAAAGAACTTTGCAGTGTGTTTAGTGGTCTTCGGGGTCAGGTGGTGGTATTTGGAAGATTCTCGTTTATTCATCTGCTGTGTGTGCTTATTTTCCTTTGAGTATAACTGAACTCTTGCCTGATTGTGATCGATACCTTGAGCGCCGGGTTGTTGGGTATTGAAATGTGACTCTGGGCCTTTGTCTTCTTGCTTTCAGCAATGTTTAGGTCTGTTGGCCAGGAGGGTTCCCCTCACTGGTTGGAAGGCAGTGTGGTAGCTATAAATAGCTGTTTAATGGTTGGCCCAGTTAGAGACCCAAGGAGCCCATGTACTGTAGCTAGTCACGAGAGCCAAGAAATCCCAAATTGGTAGGCTTGCCTAAACCGTGATGTGTGTAAAATAAACAGACCAAAGGCCAGAGCCCACAGGTAACATTGTTTCAGTTCCCTGCCAGCCAGGGTGGAAGCAGAGAAAGGATGCTTGCTTTGAAGAGCACACGCTTTCCTGCCCTCTGTCGTAGGATCAGCGGGTAGGTGAACACTGGTTCGGTAAGGGAGGGATCCCACTGGCTGAAACCAGGGCCTTGAAGAGCTGAGAACACCATTGGGCCACTTGGAGAATCCCTTTTGGCTAAGGTTGGGGGAAATACTGTGCTAAAGTCCTATTTGTGATTGATTAAAATAGTACCCTGTCATTAGGTTACCTGCTAGTTCTGAGAAAACAACAAAAAATATTTTCAAGTAGCCTTGACATTTAAAACTTTTATTTTAAAAGAAAAAGCCATCATCAAAGGAGGTGTTATGTGTCGTGGAAAGATGTTGGATGTGGTATAAGAGGCCCGGGTGACCGTGGACCAGCCAGCCATTCTGGGCTGTAGTTGGACATGTTTAGAATGTTCCATTGGGCAGCCCCATATTATTCCTTAGTGGTGATCACGTGTGTGTGCAAAACTGATTTGAAAACTCATAAGGTCTGTACAAAAGGGAGGTGTTACATAAAAAGTCGTTAGCTGGGCACTTGTTCAGTGATTCAGTCGGTATATTTAGGTCTCACTATGGACTTTGGGCTGTTTCTGGCCAGCTGCTTGTTGAAGAAGCCTGGAGCAGGGGCGAGGCATGAGTTCTGGGCCCAAGTCTAGTAGCCGTGACTAGAAATGAGCAAGTAATTTAAACTTGGCTTGGCCCTCAGTTTCTTCATCTGCAAAATGGGATAGCCCCTTGCCTTCCCCATAGGGCTGTTGGAAGATTAGAAAGAGAAAGAGGAAGAGCTCCATGAGAAAGGACCAGGAGATGGAAATGGGGCCTTGGTGCTTCTACAACTGATGCTGATGGGCCTGCTGGCCAGACACCCTCTCCTCCAAGGCCACACCCTGCAGCCTTCTCCCAGGCCAGTGTCTCAGGCCTCCTGATGTTTTTCTGTGATTTCACAATGGAGTATTTATTTAAAATTAATAACAGCATTCAGGGAAATTGTCTTCCCTTCAGCTTGTCCTGAAAACTCAAGCGTTGGCAGGTTTCTTGGAGATTTTCTAGTTGAATCAGAACTCTTTCCCTTTGCATAGATTCCCTTCTGACCTGCTCTGTCCTGTGGAGTAGCCACTAGCCCCACGTCTTGTTGAGTACTTGAACTGTGGCCTATCCGAATTGAGATATTTTTAAGTGTAAAATACACACTGGATTTCAAAGTGTAGTATGGGGGAAAGAAAGTAAGATATTTCCTTAGTATTTTGCATATTGATTACATGTTAAAAATGATGCTTTAGACATATGAGATGAAGTAAAATATATTCCTATAATTTCACCTGTTTCTTTTTACTTTTTAATATGGCTTCTAGAAAATTTGAAATTGCAGATGTAGTTCGCATTCTAATTCATTTGGAGAATGCCGCTTTAGATCATGCCATCAAAGGCCCTGGGTTCTTGCCCGCATCATCTCTCTGGCTGAGCACTGCAGTGCTGTGGTGCTCCACAGCTCTCCAGCCAGAGTGCTTAGGGACGATTCAAGGAGCCAGGTGGAGGGCATTGAGTCCAAACAGAATGTCTGCCTTGGGGTCCACATTAGTCTTAAGATGGCCAATTTAAAAGATTTAAGTATAGAAGAATCCCATTCTATTATTCGTCCCAGGGCTGGCTACAGACGGAGGGGGAGCATCTGGAGAGATATGTCCAGTCAAGGATATGTGTGACATTTTTGACATAACGGAGAAACACTCAGTTATGCAGTGCTGATAGGCAGTTTTCACCTGACGCTCTCCTTTAAACTCCCTCTGTAGATCCTGACTCTGTGGTGGCAGGCAACTTTGTCGACAGCCCCGTTAAGGAAATTACTATGCTGTGGGTTCTCTGCCCGCTTCTGTATTTCTCTGTTGTCTTACAATTTTGAGGGGTGGTTTTATGCAGGCTTGAGTTACTCATTCCTAGAAAGTGATTGACCCTTAGAAAAATGGAGTATGGCTTTTTCCTTTCCATGACAGTGTAACTGGTGCCCCCTGAGATGCGACACCGTTGACTCCTTCATCCCTGCCTGCCAGCGTCACTGATTCTCCTCCTACCTGTGCAGCTGTCTCTTTTTTGGCTCCTCGTCCAGTCTTTAATAGCTGTTTTCCAGAGTAACATCCTGTTTTCCAGAGTAACATCCTGTTTTCCAGAGTAACATCCTGGGCCCTCTCTCCACTGTCCTGTTCTCCCAGAATATCTCACCCACTGCTTCAGCATCCTCCCATCTGCATCTGGCTTCCAAATACCATCTCCAGCTCTGACCTCTGTGTGAGCTCTCGACCCCGTCTGCTGTCATGACTGGACCCCCATGGGCGTTTCAGCATCTGGTGGTCTTCTCTGGCTCCTCACTTATAGCCCAGGGTTTTCCTTGTTTCCACTCCTGTGGATAGTGTTCTTGTTCTCTGAGCTCCCATGTCAGACACTTGGGTACCATCTGGATGCTTCCTTCTCCAACCAGACACCAAGCCCTTTCCATCTGAAATGTTTCCCTAGTCTGCCTTCCTCTGCTCTCCCCGTGTTCGGTGACACGGCCTCTCCCCAGCCTTCCTGCCTCTCTGTCTCGGCCCAGTGACCTTCCCCACATGCATGCTGACCGAGAGGCTCCTGTCCCTAAAATCCTGTAGAGGAGCCTGTGAAACCCCATGAAGCGGGCTGTGCACCTGGCCTTGTGCCTTCAGGTCCTTGACCGCGGTGGTGTTCTCCCCCACTGACCAGCTGGCCGCCCGCTGCTGGAGGACTGCAGGGCTTTGTGGACTCCGGTGAGCCCTTCCTGAAGAGGAGAAGCCTGTCTGTGGTGCTGAGTAAATTCTGGGCGTATCTTCCAATGCTTGGTCAGCGTGGCTGTCCCCCCAGGGGTGAGCACACACCTGCTTTGTGAAAGATTGATTGTCAGGAAAATACATTTTCCCCCTTGCGCAGAGAAGGGTGTGGAGTAACAGTCCTCAGCGAGCCAAAAGCCTCGAGGATTATGAAATGCGGATGTTTCCTGTGTAATTTTCATGGTCGTTGCTCCCAGGGAGTCACCCAGACTGTCCCCAGCTCATAACTGGCTGGGAGGGTCAACCATGGGTGGGAGCTCTTCTCTCCCCTGCCCTGGTCAGAATGATTCAAAGCCAAAGATGATGGAGAAGGGTGGGAACCATCTTGAAAGTTGAAGCTTGGCCTGGGGTGCTGTTCATTTATTCGCTGGAGGTCGGCCACGTCCACGGAGGGAATGGGGTGAACCTTCTCTGGGCACCTGTGCTTCTTTCCCCGCCCAGTGCGTTGCCTACCTGTGTGTGGTGTTTGCTTGCGTTGGGGCTTTCTGGTACCTGATTTCACCCCCCTCACCAAAAAAAAAAAAAAAAAAAAAAAAAATCCAAAAACTTACTGCTGAAGTTAGTCTCCAAGTACTTTTTAACCCATCAGGGTGAACAGCTTGTGGTCCACTCGGATCACTATGTTGCCTGTGAGCAGGCCTGGTCTTTGCCAGGCAATCCACCAAGCCTGCAAGCCTGGCCGTGTTGGAAGTTGGCTTCGCTGGTGGTGCAGCCTTACTGCAATTAAAAAGGCATTGACTGGGAACAGCTGTCCCGGAGCTTGTTGCATTTCCTACTGCCTTCGAGATGAGAAACCAGGAAAATAGCAGAGTGGAGCCTTCAAGTGACAAGGCAGGAAATGGCTCCCTTTATTGACAAAAGGAACATATTATACTGCCGTCTCACTGAAGGGGTCAGGGACTTCAAATGAAGGCAGGTGGTGTAAAAAAGGTAATTCTACGTGTTTTCCCCCCAAACATGTTCTTCTGTTTTTGTTTATCGGACACTC